AGTTGTTTGATACTTCCCTTGTGTATTGGTAGGAGGAGATCCTATAACCAAAATAAATGCTGTGTATGTATTCCACCATCTCTGATTTTCATCCTTCTGATCTTTTTGAATACCAGATCATCTGAATAATACACAGCGATGTGATGAGGGATAGGTCTTGGAAGAACACTGGTGCTAAAGCATCTCGAGCAATAGTTATGTTATGGTTTTAGTGTCCAATTTATTCTTCTATTCCTTGCCCTCCTATATTTGTAAACAGATGTCACCTTTGTGCCCCCATAAAAATTTTTATGGCAGCAAAAAGGCCAAGCAAACAGACATCCATACCCCTTATTGCACCACAGATGCCCAAAGTCTGTGGCTGCAACAGAGATGGTATGAATTTGTGCTGCTGTTTTGCAGCACGTGTCTACTTGCTTTAAGGCGTGGAGCTGCTCACATTCTCCAGCCACCCCAGGTAGGCATTTCCAGCCTATGCAGGATTGAGCCCCTGAACCCCTGGGAGTGTCTGCCCAGATTCCCCCTTAGGGATTCACCAGGTGCACATCTCTACATATTTTGGAACAACTTTGCACAACCTGGAACAGCTGATCCACTTTGTTTGCCGACATTTGTTTATGCCCTTAGATAAATATTTCCTATATACATGTTTTGGAATGTGCAGGTTTCAAATGCTGCTGTGATAGGATCTGGTGGAAGTTTCTTCTTATCTGGTGATGAGACGAATGCTTATTTCTTCATGAAGAATGATTTCTTATGTCTCTAACGTTCATATCCAGCCTCAGGTCCCTGTCTGGGCAGTATGGATCTCATTTGTGTGGGTCTGTAAATGAGCTGTAAAATGGAGAATTCAGAACGCAGGTTTTGGTCTGTGGTGACAACTGCAGTCTGCCTGGGTAAAGAAGTTTCTCAAGAAGTAAATTTTATTAAATTGATTCCTGTGTCAAGCAACATCCCCCTTGAGTCCTCTATCTCTTGGCAGAATTTGGTGTTTAGAATTAAACTGAATGCTTGGATACATGAGTAATCTTGTCTTTGAACTCTGGGATTAAGTGGATATACTCAATGGATTTTCCTTTGAGTGAGCTTTTCCTTTGTTTGAGCCTGAAGTAAACAGAATACTTATTTAGTATTTAGATTTTCTTCCCTGTATTTTACTCTGTGTTGTGAATAGAACATCAAGGGCAGAGTGGACTTAATTCCAGGCCTGAGATGTCAGACAGCCAGGTTTCTATGAAATTGTCTAAGATGGGCATCTTGACACATTTGTTGACTGACCTGATGATAATTGAATTCATGTGACCATTTCAAGGATTGCATTACTTTTTATGTAAGCCTTGAAGAATTAATGCTTCAGATGGAACAAATTTTTAACACCTGAAAGATTATCTGGCTAATGCAAAGTTGTTACGGTATGTGGGAAGGTATGCATTTGTCATGACAATTCTCACCTTGCTTACTAATCGGGTTTTTGTCTTTCATTTGGCCTTTTCTTAATGTTTTTTCAAATTTGTATTCAGTTGAACCTATTATATTAGTAATGCTTGAAAACAGATTTGCTCAGGGAGATTATGCGGCTGCTGTACAAAGAAGTGGAAGGTAAGAAGGGGAACTGATTGAACAGTGTATATACTGAGTTCAATTACATCCTTGCTCCTACATACTTTTCACCTTTGACAAATAACAGTTATTTTGCTTAGCTTCTATTTCTTTTTCTGATGAAAGCAGAATTCAAACCTTTCTCCCTTAATAATTACTTGAGTAATCAGAAATACAATATACAATGGCAGGGTATTGCAAGAAAACTGAGGTTGTTTGTGGAACCTTAACTATGAGTGTATAAGCTCTCAACAATGAATGTGTAGGCTCTCAAATTCATCAGTAGGTAGAGCTAATGCACTCTGTCTCTGAATTTCTACTTCCAGCACAGAAGTAATGTGAAAGATAAAGTCTTAAGGCTAAAATGACATTGTACTGGTCTCAGGGGTTTAGGAATGAATCTTTACTAGATATGAAAGATTTTTTTTGAAAACTTACAAAGGCCCATAACACAGAGAATTGAAATGTTCACAGTACTTGCCTTTAAGTGTATAATTATTGCTTTACAGGTAATTAATTTGTTAGCTAA